GAAGCAATCACAGCCTCGGTTGGAATTTGTAGATGATGACGCCAAGAAATGGCATGATACTTTTGTTCCATACAAGAGATATGTGTCTGAGATGGGGATAAATGTAAAGGCTTTAGAACGAAGCTTCCTCGATGTACTTGCTACATTGATCGACTAGAAGATGGATAAGTTCCTTGAATGTCCGGGCCCGACAAATCTCAGCATGGTCCGAGAACTATATGAAAACTGGGACACGAAAGATGATGAGTCGTGCGTTAGAGGAAAGACCATTCCAATGCATAGGGAGGCCTTGTGTCGTTTTTTGGGAGTCGATAACCCGAACCCGTGAAGGCTTATAAAGTTTGTCAAAAGCCCACGCTACCAAGAAATACGTCACACACTTTGTGGTGTTGATTCCAATGCAACATGGACGCGGACTAAGGGGGATGTTCACCTTCAAATGCTTAGGTTTGACTTCAACAAGATGGCTAAAGTTTGGCAGAACTTTGTGCAAGCTAGGCTAATGCATGTGGAGCATAATAGTGAGTGCACTCGAGCTCGAGTGTGCTTGATCTACTTTTTAAAGTCCGGGCGCCCCATAAATGTAGGTGAGCTCATGCTTGGGGAGATGGCTCGCACCCGTTTTGGAGGGAGGATCAAGAGGTTCTTTTATGGCAACATCCTAACATAGTATATGCTATCTTTTGGAGTACCGGAATACCCAGGCTATGATGAGGTGGTGGAGGCACCCAAGACATTGCTAGACATCACATCCTTGTTAGAGTCCACATCAAAGCTCACCCAAGCTGCTAGGAATGAGATGGACGAAAATTTTAACAGGTATCTCTACAAAACCGTCAATGTTATTATGAGCAGGCTAGGGGTGTCAGAGGAGGAGCGCACACAATTGCAAAATAAGCTCTCCAATTCGTCCAAGGAGATGTTGGGCATAGCACCGGGTAGTCCTATTCATCCTTCTGAGGATGAAAACACTCACAAGGGATCTGATGATGAGGATGCGGATGAGGATGAAGTTACGGGGCCCATGGCTTTGGTACCCTTAGGAGATGATGATGAGCCCATTGCCACAGCTGGTGGGCATCCTGAGGGGGAAGTCTTCAACTAGCAGGCAGTTCTTTCTTTCGACCTTACTCTATTTTTGAATTTATTATGCATCGGGGACTATGCATTGTTTAAGTGTGGGGTGGGGGAATACACTTTGAGCTGTAATTGTATCTGTTTTACAATGGATCTGTTTTCTAGACGATGGATCTGTTTTACAATTTTCTTGAGGGATTAAAGTCCGATTAAAAATACCAAAAAGATTTTCTTTTTTTAGGTAGTTAGGTAGTATCCCTTGGTTTTTCTTTCGACACCGGCTCTTTTCCAAGGGTGTAGCTCGAACCGGGTATTCTAGCTTAGTTTTTATTTATTATTAATTTTTCTTTCTTAGGAGTAGGAAAAGGGAAATTGAGGTGCTCTGAGATACCTATTGACATGGTTGGTGTTGGCAATTTAAGTTATGGCATGCGCTCTGTCTTTCTGCATATATGATTTAAATTGAATTGCCCAAGTAAATTAAGTAGCGTACTCTTTGACGCCTTTCTCTTAGTTGATTGACTTGTATGCTACCTAGTGCATTGTTGCTTAAAAATTCTCAATTTGCTAACTTTCTTGACTTGAGAGTTGCACAGAACCGTCTTGACTAAGTCAAGTGCCATGTGTGTGTAAGGATTTTTGATACTCTGTGCTATCCTGTGTAGTCTAGAACTTGCCCTGTGTGTTAATCAACGCGAAATTATTAAGTTATGCTAGTCCAGGAGATGATGTAGGCGTTTCTTGCTTGACCATGAAGGTGCTTGTCACTTATAGATAAAAATTTTCCATTGCTAGCCCTTTGAGCCTATAGACCGTTTCCTTGGCACCCACATTACAAGCCATACTCCTACTTTGTTCTTTATTTGAGAATGTTGAACCTTTACCTCCTAAGGCACTTAGTCGCTAAAAGAAGTAAGGGGAGAGATTGGGGAGTTACTTTTGAGTGGAACCATGGAAGGGCCCTTAAGGTGCACTAAGATTGTGAATAAAAGTCACTAGCTTAAGAACTTCAATGCATGGAGTGTGTGAAGAAAAAGCAAATAAAAGTTCAAATAATGTGAAAAGATAAACACCTCCTATTATTTTTTCATTCGTGCTAGTGAGTCCATAGAGGTGCTTAATTGAAAAAAGGGCTATGTTATAGATGGTGTATGACAAGTGAATGGGTTGAGAAGAAAAAGATGTTTGATTTGTGAATATAGTGTACTAAAGTGCTTAGGAGGGTTAGTCACGATTCCTAAATATATCCTACCCGTCCCTTAGCCTACATTACAACCTTAAAGTCCTAATTGATCCTAGATTTGGCTAGCTTAGATTAGTAGAGACATACACTACGGGCAAGCTTATGGTACGACCACGGGATGCACATGAACTCTTTGTGAGAGTGAGTGAATGTTGTTCAATTGTGTGATGTCCTTAATTTATGTTCAATGACATATTTGAATGTGTGGACTACTTTAATATTCATTCTTTTGCTTGTGGTAAGGGCACTTAATCTCATGATGGATTGGTGATATTGTACACTTTCTTTTGTTGGGTGAGTGTGTAAGTTGAGGATACTTAGTGTAACGAGTCATCTCTTGAGGTAAGGTGGTTGTGGAGAGGTTGCTTGAGTTGGTTTATAGCATTGTATATACTTGGGCTAGTTTGAAAACGGAAAGAATGTGAAATTCACGTGTTCATACCTAATTGCCGATATCGATCATAGTCCAAAGGTAGGGTGTTTGATTGAATTAGTTATGAAGTGCTCTTTCATAGTGATAAGTATGTTTTGGGGGATTGATTTAGTTCCATTGCTCGAGGACGAGCAAGAGTCTAAGTGTGGGGTGTTGATAATCGGCTTAAAGTATGTATATTTTGATATATATATATCGCCTCGCATTTTGCTCATATTTTTGATGATTTGAGATGTTTAATATGATGATTTGTGATAAATTATGGTATTTCTATGTGTAGGAATCATTCAGATGCAATTTGGGATGAGAGGGTGCGAATTGGAGCGAAATCGGAGCAAAAAGGCAAAAAGTCGATTTTGAGGGCCACAGCCAGCGTGGGGCGCTGGCTGTGGCGCAGTTTCCAGTACTCAAATATTTTGAGCGCCAGGGCCAGCGCCCCACGCTGCCCTGGACGCTCGGGTCACTATAGTGTCCTATTCCGACTTGGACTCGGTTATTTTCACTCCAAGACGCCTCCAATTGATATAAAAGCCATCCTAAAACCTATTTTGAGGGGAGTGAGAGAAAACAAAGGAGCAAAACACTTGGGAGCACGGATTTGAGCAATTCTTGCATCCCTTTTCTAGTACTCATTGATTTTATATTTGAAAACATTATTTTTGATGATTGTATGAACATGAGTGGCTAAGAACCCTAGTATTCTAGGGTCATGGGTGAAACATGAATGTTGTTGTTTGATGTTTAATTTGGCGAAATTGATTTTATCATTGGGCTGTTTATTTAATTCTATTTTAATTATTTTGCTGAGTAGCTAACAGTGAAATACTATCTACGAACCTAGAGTTGAAATCGAAAGTGGGAACTCTAGATTGCATATAGAATTAAATAGAGCAAGTTCTTGAACCCATGCATCGGGGAACGGATTCACAATTAGGATAGACATATACCTAATTGCCTTGCTTGGTTGAAATATAGGAATTGTAAATGCATTCTTGATAATTTTAATTCCATAGACATATAGGCATTAAGTTAACTTGAACAGGCGAATAAGGACTCGACAAATTCTTATGAGTAATATCAACCTTGTCAATCAACAATCCAGATAAATCAATTAGTTATTTTAAGCTAAGAACGCAACACAATTGTTAGCTAACCCATGACCCTGGAATATTCTCTCCTACTGATTGTTATACGAAATTGCTATTTGTTTTGGTTGATTTCTAGTTAATTCATTGCTTGATAATTTTAGTTAGTAAATTAGTCCCTTCCACATTTTGTGATGAATCTCTTGAATTGATAATTTAATTGAGTTTAAATCAGTCAAAAGTTAGTCATAAGTCTTCGTGGGAACGATACTCTACTCACTACTTTATTACTTGACGATCGCGTGCACATGCGTGAGTATTTTTGGTCGCAACAAGTTTTTGGCGCCGTTGCCGGGGCTTAGAAATTAGCTACTTGACTGAATTGAGGTTTTATTAGTTATTTATTCAAGTTTTAATTTTCAGTTTACCTTGTTTGTGTTAACACAGGCTCTTCTCCTGAATGCGGAGGAGTAGAAGCGCAAACAATCTCCTTCTTCTTGATCCTGAAATTGAACGAACACTTCACAGAGTGAGGAGGGAAGTCGAAGCTAGAACTAGAATAGAAGGAGAGTTGGACATCGTAGTTTAACCACAGCCAATAGAGATAGCAGGTAATGCAGAGCGTGCGGTGATTGAAGCCGCAAGGCCCAATCTTGCTTATATGACTCAGGCTATTATGAAGCCTGAGATCACAGGGCATTTTGAATTCAAACAGTACATGGTACAACTGATTCAGTCCACAGGGCAATATGTGGGTCTATCTCATGAAGACCCGCAGAGGCACATTCAAGATTTCTTGGAAATTATGAACACTTACAATTATCTGAACGTTTCTAAGGACTATGTCAGGCTGACACTTTTCCCCTTTTCACTGCTTGGGGAAGCTAAGGAATAGTTGCAAAAGGAGTCCGCGAACTCAATCCACACTTGGGATGATCTAGCAAGGAAATTCTTAATCAAGTTTTTACCCACTAAGAAGACAAAGTCATTGAGGAGTCAGATTCTTGGGTTCGAACAACGGGATGGCGAGACACTTCGTCAAGCATGGGAAAGATACAAGAAGCTACTCAGAGACTGCCCACATCATTGTCAGACTGATGAGGTATTTCAGTCTGATAGCAAATGGGTAAGCCCCGTCCAATGTGTACCTAAGAAAGGGGGGATGACTGTAGTGGTTAATGAAAATAATGACTTGATTCCCACAAGAACTGTCACTGGGTGGAGAATCTGCATAGATTATAGAAAATTCAACAATGCCAATCGGAAGGACCACTTTCCCCTCCCCTTTATTGACCAAATGCTTGATCGATTAGCTGGCCAGGAATACTACTGTTTCTTAGATGGTTATTCGGGGTATAATCAGATTGCTATAGCCCCAGAGGAACAACAGAAAACCACATTTACGTGTCCCTATGGCACGTATGCATTCAAGAGAATGCCCTTTGGTCTCTGTAATGCACCTGCGACTTTTCAAAGGTGCATGATGGCCATTTTCACTGACATGTTGAAAGATTTGTGGAAGTGTTCATGGATGATTTTTCTATGTTTGGGTGTTCTTTTGATGATTGCTTGATGAATCTTGATAAAGTGCTTGCTAGGTGTGAAGAAACGAACTTGGTACTAAACTGGGAAAAGTGCCATTTCATGGTACGTGAAGGTATAGTCCTGGGGCATAAAGTGTCCAAAAGCGGTTTGCAGGTGGACAAAGCGAAGGTGGAGGCGATTGAAAAATTGCCCCCACCGACATCAGTCAAAGGCGTTCGCAGTTTCTTGGGCCATGCAGGTTTTTATCCTCGTTTCATTAAAGATTTTTCGAAAATTTCCTCCCTTGTGCAGGCTGCTTGAGAAAGATGTCTCCTTCAAATTTGATGATGCCTGTCTGAAAGCATTTGAGGAGCTGAATGGAAGGTTAGTGACTGCACCAATTATCATTGCTCGGAATTGGGAGCAGCCATTTGAGTTGATGTGCGATGCGAGTGACATAGCTATTGGAGCTGTTTTGGGGCAAAGGAGAAATAAAATCTTTCACTCCATCTACTATGCGAGCAAAACTCTGAATCCATCCCAGATGAACTACACAGTTACTGAAAAAGAGTTGCTTGCAGTGGTGTGGGCGTTTGACAAGTTCAGATCCTAACTAGTGGGGACCAAAGTCATCGTCTACACAGATCATTCAGCTATCAGATACTTGTTTGAAAAGAAAGACGCCAAGCCTAAGGTCATTATAAGGGGCAAAGAGGACCCCACACTTAAAACCGAAGGCTATGCATAATCGAATCACAATATTGACTCAACATGCATCAATGCTTGCACCATAGTTAAGTTACGGGCATGTTAGACTACTTGAATTGTATGGCATAGGGAAGCCTTGAGTACCTATAGCCTTGTGATGACACATNTATTGACTCAACATGCATCAATGTGTCATCACAAGGCTATAGGTACTCAAGGCTTCCCTATGCCATACAATTCAAGTAGTCTAACATGCCCGTAACTTAACTATGGTGCAAGCATTGATGCATGTTGAGTCAATATTGTGATTCGATTATGCATAGCCTTCGGTTTTAAGTGTGGGGTCCTCTTTGCCCCTCACAATGACCTTAGGCTTGGCGTCTTTCTTTTCAAACAAGTATCTGAAGCTGAATGATCTGTGTAGACGATGACTTTGGTCCCCACTAGATAGGATCTGAACTTGTCAAACGCCCACACCACTGCAAGCAACTCTTTTTCAGTAACTGTGTAGTTCATCTGGGCTGGATTCAGAGTTTTGCTCACATAGTAGATGGAGTTAAAGATTTTATTTCTCCTTTTCCACAAAACAGCTCCAATAGCTATGTCAGTCGCATCGCACATCAACTCAAATGGCTGCTCCCAATCCGGAGCAATGATAATTGGTGCAGTCACTAACCTTCCATTCAGCTCGTCAAATGCTTTCAGACAGGCATCATCAAATTTGAAGGAGACATCTTTCTCAAGCAGCCTACAAAAGGGAGAAGAAATTTTCGAAATACTTTAATGAAACGACGATAAAAACCTGCATGGCCCAAGAAACTGCGAATGCCTTTGACTGATGTCGGTGGGGGCAATTTTTCAATCGCCTCCACCTTCGCTTTGTCCACCTACAAACCGCTTTTGGACACTTTGTGCCCCGGGACTATACCTTCACGTACCATGAAATGGCACTTTTCCCAGTTTAGTACCAAGTTCGTTTCTTCACACCTAGCAAGCACTTTATCAAGATTCATCAAGCAATCATCAAAAGAACATCCAAACACAGAAAAATCATCCATGAACACTTCCACAAATCTTTCAACCATGTTAGTGAAAATGGCCATCATGCACCTTTGAAAAGTCGCAGGTGCATTACAGAGACCAAAGGGCATTCTCTTGAACGCATACGTGCCATAGGGATACGTAAATGTGGTTTTCTCTTGGTCCTCTGGGGCTATAGCAATCTGATTATACCCCGAATAACCATCTAAGAAACAGTAGTATTCCTGGCCAGCTAATCGATCAAGCATTTGGTCAATAAAGGGGAGGGGAAAGTGGTCCTTGCGGGTGGCATTGTTCAATTTTCTATAATCTATGCAAATTTGCCACCCAGTGACAGTTCTTGTGGGAATCAAGTCATTATTTTCATTAACCACTACAGTCATCCCCCCTTTCTTAGGTACACATTGGACGGGGCTTACCCATTTGCTATCAGAGATTGGAAATACAACACCTGCATTAAGCCACTTAATCACTTGTTTTCTTACCACCTCTTTCATGAATGGATTTAGTCGGCGTTGTTGCTCTACACTTGGCTTGTGTCCGTCCTCCATGAGGATTTTATGCATGCAGAAAGTTGGACTAATGCCTCTAATGTCAGACATCATCCACCCAATTGCTCGCTGGTGCTCACGTAGCACTCTCAACAGCTTTTCTTCCTGCAATTTAGACAAGTCAGAAGAAACAATAACAGGTAAAGTGTCGGAACTACCCAAATAAGAATATTGAAGGTGAGGAGGCAAGGGTTTGAGCTCCAATTTTGGAGCTTCCTCAATTGACGGCTTTGGAAGAGGTCCACTTGGCCTATTTAGGGGCTCAAAAGGGTGTATCCCCTACATGTAAGCACAGGATGCATCTAGAATATGCATTATCTCCTCAACCTCCTCATCAATCTCCAAGCTATCAAACAACATAAGTGCTTTCTCTAGAGAATCGTCTAGATATACACTCGTGTCAAAAAGTTGCTCGTCCACCTCCACAACAGATATCATCGAGAGCTCCTCATAGTGGCTGGGAAGTTGGATTGCTTTGTAGACATTAAATATTGCTTCATCGTCATCCACCCTCAAAATCATTTTTCCCTCTCTCACTTTAATAATTGCATCACCATTAGCCAAGAGAGGTCGTCCCAATATGATTGGAACCAGTTCATCAGCCTCATAATCTAGTATAATGAACTCCGCAGGGAATATGAACTTCCCAATTTGCAGCAGTACATCTTCAATCACTCCCTCGGGGTGTACTATAGACCTATCAGCCAACTGCAACATCACAGTAGTTGGTCTTGGAGCTCCCAGACCCAATTGCTTGAACAAGGATAAGGGCATCAGATTTATGCTCGCCCCCAAATCGCAAAGAGCACAACCCACATCAATATTGCCAATTCGCATAGGGATGGTGAAGCTGCCAGGATCCTTAAGCTTTTGAGGGAGCTTGTTTTGGACCCTTGAAGTGCACTCCTCAGTAAGTGCAACTGTCTCAAATTCAGTCAATCTTCTCTTGTGAGCCACTATATCTTTTATGAACTTAGCATATTTTGGAATTTCACGAAGTACATCCACCAGTGGAATATTTAATTGAACCTGGCTCAACATAGAGAGAAATTTGCTGAACATGCGATCATCATTCTTTTTCTACAATCTCTGGGGGAAAGGTGGTGGTGGCCTTGCAGCCTCCACTGGCACTGAAGTTGCATCATTTTTCTTTGATTCGCGTATCGCCTTAGGAATCAACTCCCCCTCAGGTATAGGCTTGTCTTTTCTCTTCTTTGGCACTTCCTCTAGTTCCCTCCCGTTTCTGAGTGTAACTGCATTAACTTGAGGGTTCTTCTCTGTATCACTAGGGAGAGCGCCTGCAGGTCTAGTATTTTGATTTGCTGCTAACTGCCCCATTTGCCTTTCAAGATTTCTAAAATCGGTCCTGAGCTGTTGATTATCAAGCAACAACTTCTTCAGCAAGTCATACGTACTCTCTTCTGTTTGTTGGGGTGGCTTCTGAGGCTGTTTGAAATTTCCTTGGGGCCTATACTGATTTTGATTCTGTTGATTTCCGCCCCATGAGAAGTTAGGATGATTCCTCCAATTTGGATTGTAAGTGTTCCCGTATTGTGCATGCTGATTTGTTGGACCTCTGCTCTGTTGCCCCACATAGTATATGGATTCAGGATTCGTGGGGCACATGTCACTCATATGATTGTCGCCACATAGTTCGCAGCAAATAGACATTTGTTGTACATGTTGCATCGGTTGTGTTTGTTGCATTGTCATTCTATTCATCTGATTTGCCAATTTTGCTATGTCGGCTCTCATGGCTAAGAAGTCATCAAGCTCAATCAACCCGGCTGCTTTCTGTTTAATTGCCCTTCGTGAATCCCCATCGCCTTTCCAATTATGATCATTAGCAGTGAAGTTATTTAGCAAGAGTTGGATTTCACTATACGGTTTCGCCATGCAACTACCCCACAAGCTGAATCAAGATTCATCTTTGATGCATCGTCTAGCCCATCAACCAAAGTATGACCCAATACCTCATCAGTCTGACAATTATGTGGGCAGTCTCTGAGTAGCTTCTTGTATCTTTCCCATGCTTGACGAAGTGTCTCGCCATCTCGTTGTTCGAACCCAAGAAACTGACTCCTCAATGACTTTGTCTTCTTAGTGGGGAAAAACTTGATTAAGAATTTCCTTGCTAGATCATCCCAAGTGTGGATTGAGTTCGCGGGCTCCTTTTGCAACTATTCCTTAGCTTCCCCAAGCAGTGAAAAGGGGAAAAGTGTCAGCCTGACATAGTCCTTGGAAACGTTCCGATAATTGTAAGTGTTCGTAATTTCCAAGAAATCTTGAATGTGCCTCTGCGGGTCTTCGTGAGATAGACCCACCTATTGCCCTGTGGACTGAATCAGTTGTACCATGTACTGTTTGAGTTCAAAATGCCCTGTGATCTCAGGCTTCACAATAGCCTGAGTCATATAAGCAAGATTGGGCCTTGCGGCTTCAATCACCGCACGCTCTGCATTACCTGCCATCTCTATTCGTTGTGGTTGAACTATGATGTCCAACTCTCCTTCTATTCTAGTTCTAGCTTCGACTTCCCTCCCCACTCTAAGTGTTCGTTCAATTTCAGGATCAAGAGGAAGGAGATAATTTGCGCTTCTACTCCTCCGCATTCAGGAGAAGAGCCTGTGTTAACACAAACAAGGTAAACGGAAAATTAAAACTTGAATAAATAACTAATAAAAGCTCAATTCAGTCAAGTAGCTAATTTCTAAGTCCTCAGCAATGGCGCCAAAAACTTGTTGCGACCAAAAACACTCACGCACGTGCACGCGATAGTCAAGTAATAAAATAGTGAGTAGAGTATCGTTCCCACGAAGACTTATGACTAACTTTTGACTGATTTAAACTCTATTAAATTATCGATTCAAGAGATTTATCACAAAATGTGGAAGTGACTAATTTACTAACTAAAATTATCAAGCAATGAATTAACTAGAAATCAACCAAAACAAATAGCAATTTCGAATAACAATCAGTAGGAGAGAATATTCCAGGGTCATGGGTTAGCTAACAATCGTGTTGCGTTCTTGGCTTAAAATAACTAATTCATTTATCTGGATTGTTGATTGACAGGGTTGATATTACTCATAAGAATTTGTCGAGTCCTTATTCGCCTATTCAAGTTAACTTAATGCCTATATGTCTATGGAATTAAAATTAACAAGAATGCATTTAAAATTCATGTATTTCAACCAAGCAAGGCAATTAGGTATATGTCTATCCTAATTGCGAATCTGTTCCCCGATGCCCAGGTTCAAGAAC